TACCAGATCTAACTTGCAGGTGATAATCCAAAATTTAATTATCACGAGACATTATCACATATATATTAAAATAATATCAAGATAGCGCATTAAGTAACAAGAATTTATAGTAAAAAAAGCCTCTAACGAAATTTTTTAATACATTTCATTCTAAATTCGCCAAAGAATTTCTTCTTAAAACTAAGAGTCGCAATTCCCGGGACATCGTGAGCAGATACTGCTAACGCAAGAGGATTCTGTGTTTCTATTTTCTCGGAACTGAGTTCTCTGTCTTCCACAGCTGTACAAACAAGAGGTGATACTCGTAGTATCACCGAGAACATACGCGCCAAAAATAGGAATGCCACGATCCCAACACTCACGGACAGCTCGTTAAGGCTAATCTTATCGTCGATCGCTCCGATCGATCGCGGAACGATCGACGGAAGAAATTTTCGTAGTCTTTAACGTGCCGCCGAAGAAACAATATCAATGATTGTACTGCAAGGTTTCTCCAGCGGAGAGGAAAATAGGTATAGCTTTCGAGATGTAAACAAAGATAGAAGTACGTTAATAAATAAAATTGCTGTTTAGCAGGGACATTATTTATGAATTTAATTAAATTAAAGATATTCTAATCCCACATAATCGACCAAAAGAAAGATTGAAGTAAAATATTGCACGGAATATTTTATGTCTCTCTCGTATATCTACAGGAATTCTTTATCTAATAAGTGTAGATATCATATTGCTCATTTCCTACAATAACGACTGTAACTAAGAAATTGTCATTTTTGCTTACAGAAAAAGAATGGAAATAAAAAAAAGAAGGAACATACTTTTATTCCTTTACAAATTATTACATCAATTGCATTTCAAAACGAATGTTATAAAATTTTAACAATTCTAAATATTGAACATTATTATTTGGAAAAATCTGTTTTTTTTTTTAGGTATTGTTGTAGCAAATGAACGATTTAGCGAATATCATGACTTTTTATAATTTTTAATATTTCTGCAATTTTAACTTTGTATAAAATTCTGTAAAGATCAAATCTGTCTATTCAAAGTTAAAAATAAAGTTTCTACAAAATGAAACAAAGGCCTTATGTACTTTAACGTAGAAATCTCTATTTAATTGCACATGATGCACCGTCTTCCTTTCACTTCATGCACCTTGTTTTGAGTGCGAAAAAAGAGCGCAGGCGAAAAGATGAAATCTACTCACGCACCATGAGTCGAACAATTCATACATGCGCGTACACATTTCGCTCGGAGTTTCAATTAATTCCGGCGCACAATTTCGTCTATTTACACAGTGACTGTGTGGCATTCGTGTCGCCGCTGCGAGATGGTCGCGGCCGATAGATGGTCTCGTCACATCGGCGAGTACCTACGCTATCGTCGATATTTCGTTAAATTTACTGCGGGCCCATCCTCGAGGTGAGATACCTCAACTGCATTGAATTCGAAGGGGGGGGGGGGAAGGAAGGCAGCGTACTCTCTTTGATTTCGAGCAGATGACGCGTGACGCTTGATGATTCATACTATTGTAATTAATTTCAATTTATTCAACAAGTTATCGCCGAAGCGATAACGATCGGTGGTTGCGTTATTAACGTTTATTAAAAAAAAGAATCACAAAAGTATAAATTATATTTACTCGTGTACACGTACTTTTTATACGATAAGGAACTACGAACGCGATTTTATCATTGCGCCAGAAAATTTTTAAATATTTTATTTCGTCCCGACGTATCTAACTTTTCGGCGTGCCTTTAATTTCACTCGATTAAAAAATTGCGCAAAGAGAGGAACGAGAAAAAGTTATTAACAGCGGCGACGAGCCGACGGTGACAAGACTTCGGGAGTTGAGTGTTTCCCGGCGAGCGATGCGACGATGATGCGATGCGCGCGAAAATCCCGGGGTGGCCGAACGAATACCCCGTACGTGCGCGCACACATCTCGACGGAGTTTCAATTAATTCGGGCCGGCAGTTTCGTTTGTTTACACGGCGACCGCGGCTTTCGCGTCACGGCCGTTGCAAAATAGCCGGGCCGATGATCCCGTCACGATCCACCACCAACGGCGCGACGGCGCGGCGCGGCGTGGCGCGAGTGCGAGCTCGCGGGCGCGTCAGCTGCCGCATTCTCGCGTGATTTTCGCGGCGGCAATTACTATGTAAATACCGTAACTCTCTGCTGCGCGGAAGAAAGTAATTACTGTGAATCGCCATCGGGCGCGAGCGCGCGACCGTGACGCAGATTAAACGTCGCCAAACGTTATTTTATTTTTCCGCGGCAAAAACTTTTCGACTTCTAGCGACTTCTCGCTCTCGCGCGAGTAATCGAAATGCATTATTCACCCTTTCTTGAATTTCTTCTTGAAAATTCGCATGTGTTTTCGATTCGCAAAAGAATCTTTATAATATGCTGAATGCCGATGAAAAATTAGTACGAAAGAAAAGCTTTGCGTGTTGCTTTCGTAGTAATTTTTTTTATCGACATTCCACAGATTTTTTTAAGAATAGTGAAAACATAGTTGCACGAACTGATTTACCTACACATTTATCCTCAGAAGACGTGGATCATCTTAATTTAGATGCGTGTGTTTAATCGATATACATGTATACATCGATCAACACGTAAAAACTCTCATTTTGATCTGAATAACAAGTTCACCGTGTGAGTATGAATATGCATTTGAGATTAATTTAATATGATAAGCTTGCAGAAACCGCAGGAGCGATAATAACCGGAGTTGCGTTATTAACTCTATTTTAAAAAAATAAAATTATAAATTATATTTACTCGCGTACACGTCGTATTTTCATACGAATGACGTAAAAATAATAAAATTATTTTTGTATACAATGTAACAATTGAGAAAATTATATAATATAGCAAAACAATAATTACAAAATTATTAAATCGGTTAAAGAAAAAATATCCTCTTAAAATAGTTATTTTTTTTACTATATAAATGCACTTATCTTTGTTAAAAAAACAGGAAATATCTCATTTAATGTATGGTATATCTAAAAATATTCCCTTTCCATATTCTAAAGCCCGTGACGATATTAAGACGATATATTCTGTTACGACAATAATTACAGTCAATAACACTAACATATAGGTCATCCGCGTTATAAAAATGACGTAAAAATAAAAGAATTATTATATTATACAGCGTGACAATTGAGACACATAAAAATTTACATAACATAGCAAAATAATAACTTCAATAAATTATTATATCAATTGTTAAAAAAAAAGAACGCTTTTAAAAAAGTTATTTTTTTACAATAAATGCATTTATTTTTGTTATAGAAACAGGAAATGTCTATCTCATTAAATATACCCCTAAAAATATTCTCCTTTTCATATTTAATGCCCGCCAAGATATTAAGACGGTATATATATATATATATATATATATTGTTACGCCAATAATCAATAACCCTAGAGATATAGGTCGTTCGCGTTATCACATCTCTGCGGACGTTACACTCCGATATTTCCCGGAAACAGGAGACTTACCCATAATTACCCACCGGTTACCGGGGACTAATGACACCGACGGATGTATTATTAGTATACACTCCCAGCGCACACCCCGACGGCCTTATCTGGGCCGAGGGGGTAACGCGACGACAGCTCGTAAATTGATTCGAGATAATGTTGTCGTCTTCGGGCTACCAAGTCACACCAGAAGTCTGTCGTTCACGGCTAATTCGCTTTGAGTGGCCCGTTTATTTTATCGTCACGAATTTAACCCCTTCGCAATTTCCTTGACTTTGCGCCTCTTTTTGTCTGTCGAGGAAAAGGGGGGGGGGAGAAGAAAACGTTTCGAAACGAGTTTTAAGTTATTATATCGTGACTTACTTACTTGTAACATGTTTCGATCAGCGGAGCGACATTGAAATAATTTGTTGCACAGTAGATATTATCTTAATTTCAAATTCGATTGGTCTTTTAAATTAAAAATGCAAAGTAAGCGTATCATATTTAGAAACATTTTCTTAAGAAAGAAGAGAAAGAGAGAGAAGAAAAGAAAAAGAAAATCGTTTTATCCCTCTCAATATCTTAAGTCAAAATCAAAATGTTAAGAATAAATCGATTTCCTGTTACAAGCTTCTGCTTTCATCCTTCAGTCATAAAAGAAACTGAAATAAGACTGAGCTGCTTTAAAAGAGTTTAGATATACTTCCCCTGCGCGCAGTATCCTCTTAACCTTTTTTTTCCGCAGAGAAAATTTATAGCGGACGATAATCTTTAAACCGGCTCCTCCCTTCCTTCGAAACTTCAACCTAGGCTCGGGAAAACAAGCCCATTATTGGATGTAATATTTTTCGTCCTGTTAAAAGGCTGATGCTCCATTAATAAATAGTTAAAACGTCAACTGATTTTTTTGGGAGGGATGGGGAAAACGGGCGAAAAAGCATTTAAAGTCGATTTATTCAACTAACCGAAAAAGCAACCATAATTTCTGCCATTTTCATCCTCCGAACTGATTCAATGAACGTGCAGATTTTAAGCGGATTTTCGAATATGTTCCATGTGTCGGGTCTGCGATTATTCACTCTGTTATATTGATATAACGTACAATATTATCACGAAAATCTCATACGAACAATCAGGTGCTACCGAAATTATGCAATTTTCCGATCAATTTGGTAATTAATACGTTTCAGATTATTGGAAAATCGCGATCAAATAGCTCAACTTTCACAATGCAGTTTCACAAATATGCAAAATTATTAGATATAGACATTAGATATAGAATAACTCTAATCTCATATATATTACGGATATTATGAATAAAATTATGATTAAATTTCTGAAAACGTACCGCGTTGTAAAATATATACAGCCTTGGCTTTTAGTATAAAGCCCTCAATTTATGGCATTGTCGTGAAAAAAAATGGTAATAAAAGCCCGAAGGAGATCCAATAAAATATTAAACTTGTTATAAAAATATTATTTTTCAATAAAAACTGCTTACTAATTTATTTATCGTTAAACATAGAACGTTTACATTTAATATGAGAGGGGAAAAAAGGTGCTTTATATATTTATGATTAAGGCTGCACTTATTGACAGTCCGGTGTCAAACAACCTCATCGTCTCGCGATGGAAGAAGATAAAATGAATATTTTCCGAACTGTCATATCGCATACATCGTCTTTCAACACGTGTGTGATTACATGAAAGCAGCAAACGCTATCGGCGCGGGGAAACTGGAAATATGAGAAATCGCTACACGCACACCGCTTTGCAAAACGTCACGTCCGTAAACATCCATCGGTCTTTTTGAATGTAATCGACGGTGAAAATATTTCAGGAGCGCCGACGGGACTTTATCTTCGACCCCGTTTTCAAAGACCCCGCCTACAAAGCAGAAAAGGGTTTGCAAGGGGAGGCAGGATAGTTCGGACGAGAGGAAGAGGAGGAGGAGGGGGAAGGTGAGGTACTTGAGATGTTTGTGTATTCGGAAAAGGATCAAGCTCATATTCACGGAATCCTCCGAGTGTTACGTCGTATAGCATCCCGCTCATATCTCGCATTATTAGAATCTAAGCTCTATCACATGTGGATGTTCGTAACAGTCCCGCTGTCTGTGCCCCTCATTCGATCGATAGGTGTCGTCTTCAAGGTCAAGATCTTTGCAACATACGGGCAACTTTCACGCCGGTAAAAGTTATTCCAGTGTTTCGCTGGTAAGAATTCAATTTCAAATTAGATTTTTCTCAGATATATTTTACATACTTGAAAATAAATAATGTATTAACAGTATTAGCCGGAAGTATTTAATTAAAAATAATCTTAATTCAATGACAGTATTATTAAGGACATAGATATGTCAGTTTTGCTCTTGGTTTAATAAAACCACGAAAAGAGAATGATTTTGCTGAATACAGATCTGAAAATAATTCTAAGACTATCAAAATATTTTTGTTGGAAAATTAAACTGATTATTAAAATATCAAAACATTTTATAGCAATGCTTATCATTTTTAACTTTCCAACCAAATTATTTTGATGGTCTAATAAGAATTATTTTCAGATCTGTATTTAGCAAAATTGTTCTATCCGTGACGTAATTTATTTTATTAAATTCTCCTGTTCACTCACCATTATCATCTCACAATCAGATTAACATTAGAAGCAAGAAAATACACAAGAAAAATTCTAATTACGCTAGAACAGACTTATAAAATATACTAAAAACTATTTTTCTGTTTCGAGAACAAATAAACCATATTTATTTCTATATATAATATTAATTTAACATAGCTTATTTCTGTTTTTGATTATGCATAATTTATTTTCAGATACATCGTTATTTATTAATTAATGAAACAAACGAAGAGTTTTGATATATTTTACAAATCGGTTCTATCGATTGTAAAGTGTTGTTATAACAAAACATATTTTCATTTTAATAAGTTTTACAAGAATTTTTATTGTGTATTTTCTCGTTTCTGACGGCACAAACTAAGATAGTTATAGTGATAAGTGAGCAGGAGCCTTAAAACTATTACGAACATTTTCAATTAGGCTGCAGTTGGCTAATGCTGTCGATACAGCATTATTTTTACGTGAATTATGAAAAGTATATTATTAATTAGTGATTCACCTTCACGTCTCACATTTTCGCGCACAATACTTTTGGGACGTACAATCTCGGGGCAGGAATAACGTGCACCACATACCCACTGCCGCTTCGCTCAGGCTGGTGATAGTAAATTAAATCTGGTGGATTATGAAGCGGAGTGAAGACGAATATATGCATAAGAACGGTTTACATTTGATTCGCCCGGAATATCTGCCCGGGCTGTTTGTATCGTTAACCAGCTCCTATGCCGAGAGTAAACGATTTCATAATGGAAACCCGCGGTTGATATTTCAAATGAATCGTGACGTCTGCCTCTGAAGTGGATTACATTTCAAGAACCAATCACTCCGTGCCGCGCGTATTTGCCGTGGGCTTATTAAAAAATCCGCGATTAGCTCACCCGCCCCCTCTCCCCCCCCCCCATCCCGAAATACGTGATGTGACGATTATACCCGGGCAAACTATAAACGGCACGAACCGCCGACTTGGTTTGTTAACAGGGCAAATATTTAAATGTCATAATTAATATATCGATATATTCGGGCGCTTTAATACTAAATGTCCACGTCAAATAGGTTTTGTCCGTTCGAAATAGTTTCAATGCGCCTATTTGCCTTTCGTCGCCCGCGCACTATGATTGTCCGTAAATTTTGCGATCGACTCTGAAAATTTTTAACGGACAACGTCAACGCACGCGGGGTCGCGCAATGTCAAAACTTCTCCCGGAACTCCTTTCGGAAAGTGTCGTAAAACAACTCCCGGTTTCGCGTTACGATCTTATTGCCTATGTATAGAAGGCCTGGTTAGTGCTTCAACTGGGAAAGTTGAGGGAGTCGCCATGTATTCAAAACGAAAATTCCGTGGTGGATATCTTCCGCTTAAATGACCAGCGAGGCGCGTAAAGCCAGCAAATTCTACTTTCGCCTTTCGCCCGCGGAAGCTGGGAGATGCGCCTTTCCCAATGGTGAGAGTAGTCAAGCCATTGAAAGTTTAACGCACCGTAAGCACGTAGAGCCTTCCTCCACGTAACTGTATCGGGCACATGCAGCTTTTTCCCCGCGTCCGGCCCCGAGATTGTATCGGGGATATGTGCGCGTTATGAGCCAGCAATAAATAAGCAGCTACAGCTTTTACACGTAGCAATGTCAATGCAATTCACGATGCTCAGGTTGGATCACGTTCGATTGTCTTTCTTTCTCAATCGTTACAAGAACTACTGGCGAATGTATTCAGTATATACGACGCTGTTCTCTATAAACTTCGTTCACTAAGCAGAAAATAAAGCCATTATGTATATATACAATATACATAATATAATGTAATATATGTGCAGTATATTATTTAATATTTTGTACACATATATGTATATATATATTATTATTATTATTAAAAAATGTAAAATATGTATAATATATTTATAATAATTAGATTTATATCTTTAGAGCTTTGTATTATATAAATCTAACTTATCTTTTTATAAATATTAAATTACTTATGTAATATAATGTAATATAATATGAACTATTAATGTAATATATTATTGTTAATAATATATCACACTAATTATAAAATTATTTAAATAATATATTGTAAGTATTAATTACGTATAATTAATACTTACAATATATTATTTACATAGTAAAGTTTTAAAAATTTAATTTTTAAAAAGTACATTAGTTTTATGTAAACTAACAAATTGTATTATGTAAATGTATCTTCTGTAATCTTGTATCTAATGTATCTTTATATAAAATAAAATTTTTAAAATATTATTGTGCAATTATGCATTCATTTGATGAAATTAGGTATTATACATTATCGGTTTCATTTGGATAGATATCATTGAGCGTCGGAAAAATTGAGTTCAACCCTTATCGAATACGTTATATTGCTACGATATGGACAATATGATGACATGTGTCCTTATATAAGCGACAATATTCGTAATATATTACAGGGAAAATTCTATTCCCTTTGGCATTATGGGAGAGATAAGTCGTTATGGGGAAACTGTAATTCCGAACATCTGGAAAATATTTTCTAGTCCTTATTTTCTGCTCAGTCTCGAAGGAATGATTGCATAGAAACTTCCGCGATAATTATCTCGAGCATCGTTTCTTTTTCTACAGCAAGTTTTCGCAAATTTAATATCGATGATTATTCAAAAAAAATTTTTTACAAATGTTTTTAACAACTTTTTTAATTTTTTCATTTTTTTCACACTGAATATATAATTAAAATTTCATTAAAATATATCACATACTTGAAATCAAAAGAAAAGAAGAATTAAAATAATTTAAATAATTCATATTATTTGCGATTTTTAGACCGGTATAGTCGGCTCTTACATTAAGATTGTCTTAAAAATCATCGAAATACAATCTTAAAAATGATCTTGAAATAAGAATGAACACCAACTATGAATACCAGCCTTAATCTTCCCTTAAAAAAGTTTTCTTTTACGTTGGTAATACATCAGAAATTCAAAATGTACCTTAGCATTGACGCAGCATGTTTCACTTTTTCAGTGAAGAAAATGAGCAGGAACTTTGCTTCACTATGTCTTGTTACGTCATCTGTCATTTTAGAAATCAAGCGTATTCCGCGTTTCGCAATGCTAGTCAACATTGCAGATGAACGTTTTGGAATCAGCAATTAATTTCACGTGTCCGATCTAAACGAGACAGCCTTCGGTGTAACTGATTCATCAATTAAATCACTGTAACGATATATCATCTTTGCGATAAGTAAACGACAGAAACACGACCGTTATTGCAAACGTCTGGTTTGTCCAAACTTGCTTCGAACTTAACACATTAACCTGCCTTCTTTGAGAAACATCATCATTTAGCATCTCCATATCACACTACGGTATGGGTAAAGTTGAATAGTATTTACATATATTTTAACCTAAACATAATATTACATATATTCAAGTATAATGCAAATAATATAAAATAATACAATTTTTATGAGTTAATGCATTTTGTATTTTGAATTACTTTTTTTGTAACAACTCTTATTTAGTAAATAGTATAAATACATATCGCACTTTTGCTTCAAAAAATGACACAACTCAACAAAATTAAGTTTTCCGACTTTTAATGATTACCTAAATCATAGTAATAACGCGAAAATCATATTTGCTTTTAATTGTGCCACTTTTGCATCAAAGATGCGAATATGATAAAAATATATTTCCAGAATATTTGATAATTTATATTTTTCCCATATATACCGTTTTTTTTTTAAAGAGGGCAAAACAGAGAGAGAAATTAAAAAAGATCGTCATGTTTTCTCAGGTCAGAACGTAGAAATCACGACTGTCAGCAGCCAATCCTCAACTTCCGTTATTAAATCTTAAAACACTTTGTGATTTACCCACTTTCAAAAATACGACGTTAAACATGACATTGATTGTACTGGACTGGCGAATAAGTGTTGAAAAGTTTATTCGTAAGCGTTTTTTTTTCTCTGCGGCTGGTTCGACATTTGTTTGAGAATTCGACGACTCGGCATTGGGAATTATACGCTCGACCAATATGTCGTGTTGATTAAGACTCGATAGATCAATATCCAATTTGAATATATAAATGTACACGCGATAATTCTGAACACAATTGAAAGGCGATACTCCCCGAGATCGATTGTGTGAAGTTCCATTTACACCTTGTCGCGAAGTCTTTATCGAAATGAATTTTCGCGCCTCTCTAATTGATTTGCCGATTGTAATAATAAAGTTATTAAATGTCTTTATCCTTTATTATATTTCATTATAAAATAATATATATTAAAATTATTTAAGAAAAATAAAGATATCCCACTGAAAAGATTAAAATAATTACGTAAATTTCAGTGAATTAATTATATTAAGTTATCAATATATATTTTAGACCTCATATCTATCTGATCCAAATAAAAGTAGCACATTTATTTCAATTAATTAATTAGCAAATGATGGCGCCCTTCTAATGCGTTTCCATTCTAGATGGTGATAGCTCGATAATGATTGCTCGACTAAAATACATTGAAAAGAAATGAAAATTGGCAATGGCAATATAATGGACTTTTCTCAATGGACAGCAGCTAAAATTAACAGTCTGCATCCGGTATGGATGTGTAATTGCGTGGCTAGACAGTAATCTCGAAAAGAATGTTAATTTTATATATTGATTATCCTTTCTTTGATACGATTATGAAATCAGAAAGATACTAAACTGTACAAAATCTAAAATCCGTGTCACACTGCGCATTGGAAATCGAAAATCAGAGATTAGAATTCAACGATCAGAACGAAACGGCTCAAAAATAAAATTACCTAATTGACGAAATTCTAATCTTCAATTCGCAATCTCCAATGCAGTAGTAGAACACGGGGGTTTAAGGAATTTGATTATAAATAAAAAGAATTTTGCTAAATTCTCATAACAAATTGCGCGATGTAAATGTCACATGACGTTCCGTAAAAATCCTGCAATCATCCGCAAGGAATCTCTGTTTCGCGTAAATCAACATTAGACTTTCGCATTCCAACAGTAACCCAAACGACAATCGGTTTATCGACGACAACCATCGAACGATTTTTGACTACCGACCATTTCAGAGCTTTCGCGCTCGACTCTCGAGCTTTACGATCCCAGCGTTCGTCCGATAAATGGAGTAAACATCGACTACGATCAAAAGAAACCGTGATCAAGAGTATCTGTCTATCCAAATTGTCTCTACGATATCTCACAGAGGGTTACGTTGTCAACCATATTGGTGTATCCCCCATTTCGCCATCTTTCTTCCTGACGTACCACCTTCCATCACACTTATTTTCTTCATATATTAACTGAACGCACGCGTGTATCGACGTATGTTCGATTTTCGACAAAATATTGAAATAACCGCACATTATCTTTGATGAAAAATTTTTGTAAATATTTTCTCTTTCAATATTGCATAGCGTCAGCTTCCGCATATAAAAATTTGTCATATCAAAATTATATTTTATACGTCGTACAAATTTACTTCATAAAATACAATCAAAAATTTTTATATTATAATTAATGTAAATACTATAACAACTTATATATAATTAAGAGTGTACCATATAATTACTATACTATTATACAAGATTATAAATTTTAAGAAAATTAAATTAAATACAGTAAACTAATTTTCTTTAATTAGAAGAAATTGAGGCTCGTATAATAAATAAATCATAAATAGCTCAATAGTGTCTTTGCGAGCCGACACGGATGTGTATAATAATTTTTACTGTTATAATATATCAAGCTATATACAAACTGCGCGCCGCATATATTGTCGGTCTTGAAACACAGTTCTTACATGCCAGAATCCATCGTAAATTGTCAAACAATTTAATATTTTTTATGCTAATAAGCATCTATAAGAATCCCCTCCCCCAAACTTGTAATTGATATAGTAAAAAAATAGTAATTTTCTTTAAATTACTATTTTTTATACTATACTAATAATTTATATCAAACATATATTAGGCCGTATGCGAGCCAACACAGATGACGGTGTGTAATAATTTCTTTTTACAATATTCAATCCCACGTAGATTGCGCGCAATTCGTTGGTCTTGAAACGCTTACATGAGACCAGAATAACTTGTAACAAATTAAATTGATTAACGATTTAATCTTTTTGATGCTATATGTATCTATGTCCCCTTCCCCTCCGAATCTGTAGAATTATTTATTGCGAAAAAAATCACCTCAGATCTCAGCCAGAAATCGAACCCGGATCTCCACGTTTGACGGACGGGCGTCCTACCTTTAGAGTTTAGACCACCAAGGACGCCCGTTCGGTAAATGTGGAGATTCGGTTCGATTCCTGGCTAAGAGCTGAAGTGATTTTTTTCGCAATAAATAATTCTACAGATTCGGAGGGGAAGGGGGTATAGATGCATATAGCATCAAAAAGAGATTAAACCGTTAAGCGATCAAATTTGTTGCAAGTTATTCTGGCCTCATGTAAGCGTTTCAAGACCGACGAATTGCGGCGCGCAGTCTACGTGGGGTTGGATATTGTAAAAAGAAATTATTACACACCGTCATCCGTGTTGGCTCGCATACGGCCTAATATATGTTTGATATATTCTAGTGAGCCTATGTATCTAAATTGTTAATAATTTATACTTTCTGTA